CCTCCTCCTCCTCCTCCCTCCTCCCTCCTCCTCCTCCTCCTCCTCCTCCTCCTCCTCCTCCTCCTCCTCCTCCTCCCCCTTCTTCTCCAACTCCTTCGCCTCTCCAGTTTATGGTGGTGGTGGTGGGAAACCAGGCCGATCAGATTCAAGCAGATGCAGCAGCACAGCACGGCCAAGCCCCAGGCCAACCCGTCGCACCAGCAGTGCCCGAGCGGGTGTCTGGGCCTCGCGGCCGTGCTGGAGGCAGCTTGGAAGCAGGCGTGCCCATCGACGCTAACAGATGCCTCCCCGGGAAGGCCGCCGTCGCGGAGGGAGTGGACTCCAAGCTCGCGTTCTCGACCAACTCCGACCTCGAGGGGCTCGGCGACGACGCCCACCTCGCGGAGGAGCGGCTCGCCAAGCGCCAGAACGTGGCGGGCAACTCCTCTTCTGCAGCTAGCGCTGCAGCAGGAGCGGGGACAAGCAAGCGACGTGGGTAACACCCTCGCGATCTGCACTTTTAAGTGTTAATTGTAGCACTTGGTCTAGCATTCGCGAGCTCCTGGGGTCCAAGGGCGCTGAGAATATCGAGGTCATCTGCTGCCAGGAAACGAAGCTCAACATCAGGATTTGGCCCGAGTAACTGGGTGGTGTGCTATCAAGGGATGGTTCGCAATTCTACCACCAGCTGTTCTGAGCGCCAAGGGGTTCCCGTGCCAAGGTACCGAGATACTAGTACGCAATGGCCTCGAATCTGGCATCACCACGCATCAAGGTCCAGAATGATGTCCGGAGTCTGGAGCTACCGTCATCAGCTTCAAGACTTCAGGACACCACCCTCTGTGCCTAGCGTCTGTCTGTTTGGCTGACTCGGTCGGCCTGAACGAGGGGAACCTCACAGCTGTTGCCAGCGTCGTGCAGGTAGCCTCTGCCAACGCCCTGCCGCTGATCACGGCAAGAGATTTCAATGCGTGCCCTAACAAAATGATAGAAACGGAATTCTCGACCAGGACTGGGGCCCAAGTCATCACGCCCAACACGCACACGCTCTACACGAAGAAAACACATCAACGACTGATCAGTTCTCCGGGTCCGCCTGATTCGAGAACTGTTCGAAGCAGCCGCCAGTGTTGGTTGACTACCCCAGTAGTCCACATCGCCCAATAGTCATGGTTGCGGCGATTGGAGCCCAAAATGTGATGCCTGTTCTGGAGCAACCGCAGTACATGCCCGTCACGACCCCAATAGGCCGAAGAAGCAAGTGCCATTCGTGGTCGCGGAATCTCGGGGCTGCTTTGGAGCTTCTGGAGGCCCTGCTGGAAAACCACGATCGCTATGCTGTCTCTGGAGATGCCCCAGAGCCAACTCCCATTCAGCCGGTCTCTTTGGCTTCGCCCATGGCCCTGGTGGACACCATCTACGGCTACCTCGTGGCTACCTCGTGGATGACATGCCCAGCGCTCCTAGCATTATCACTGGCACGCCGCTGAACAGTGCCAGGCGCCGAGCCCAGACACCAACCGTCAAGTGGATGCCTGCCATGGCTGCCGAGGCCAAGGGATAGGAGGAGCTGGGGGAATGCGACAGCAGCTTTGCGATGGCTGCGCGACAGGGCCATCGTTACACTCGGCAGGGGCGTGGAGGAGAGAGTCCTCGAAGAACTTCGACAAGCCCATCTGGATCTTGCCGCGCCGCCGGGTGACGTAGAAGCGGCTGCAGCGTGCGAAAGCCCTGACTAGCGGCGTGCGCGCGCGCCCAAGCCGCGCTCTTGGACGCCAGGGGCAGTGGGCCAGACTTCGATCCTCCTCCTCCTCCTCCTCCTCATCATCATCATCCTCCCTCCTCCTCCATCCTCCTCCCTCCTCCTCCCTCCTCCTCCCCCCTCCTCCCTCCTGCGCCTCTCTCCGCCCTTCCTCCTCCTCTCCCCTCCCCTCCTCCTCCTCCTCCCTCCTTCCGCCCTCCTCCTCCTCCTCTCCTCCTCCTTCCTCCTTCCTCCTTCCTCCTTCCTCCTTCCTCTTCCTACCTTCCTCCTTCTCCTTCCTCCTTCGACCGCTCATCTTTTATACCTCCTTCTCCTTCCTCCTTCTCCTCTCCTTCCTCCTTCTCCTGCCTTCCTCCCTTCCTCCTTCTCCTTCCTCCTCCTCCTCCTCTTCTCCTCCTCTCTTCTTCTTCTTCTCTTCTTCTCCTCCCTCCTCCTCCTCCCCTCTCTCCTCTCTCCTCCTCTCCTCCTCTCCTCCTCCTCCTCCTCCCTCCTCCTCCTCCTCCTCCCGCTCTCTCCTCCTCCCCTCTCTCCTCTGCGCCTCCTCCTCCGCCCTCCTCTCTCCTCCTCTCCTCCTCCTCCGCCCTCCCTCCTCCTCTCCTCTCCTCTCTCCTTCCTCCTTCCTCTTCCCCTCCTCGTGCCTCCTTCCTCTTGCTTCCTTCCTCCTTCCTCTTTCCTCTTCCTGCCTATTTTCCTCCTTCCTCATTCCTCCTCCTCCTTCTCCTTCCTCCTTCACTCCTGCTCTGCTCCTTCCTCCTTTCCTTCCTCCTCCTCTTCCTCCTCCGCCTTCCTCACGCTCCTCCCCTACTGAAGCCAAACGCTGCTCGGACGCGGCGCTCCTTCCTCCTTTCCCCTTCTCTTCCTCCCCTCCTCCTTACTTCTTGTACTTCTTCTTCTTCTTCCTCCTCTCATCCTCATCTTACCTCAACTCCTCCTCCAGCCTCCGCCTCCGCCTCCGCCTCCGCCTCGCCTCGCATCCTCCTCTCCCTCTCCTCGTCCTCGTCCTCGTCCTCCTCCTACGTCCTCGTACCTCCTCTCCTCCTCCTCTTCCTCCTCCCCTCCTTCCTCCTCCTCCTCGTCCTCGTCCTCGTCTCGTCCTCGGCATCCTCTTCCTCATCCTTCCTCCTCCTCCTCCTCCTCCTCCTCTTCCTCCTCCTCCTCCTCCTCCGCCTCCTCCTTCTCCTCCTCCTTCCTCCCCACATTCCACCGAGCTGGCACAGGCTTGTAGCCGAGGCGCGCGTCCACCGGGGCAGGGGGGGCAGTCCCCGCCCGCAGCCGTGGGCACGTGCCCTCATCCTCCTCAACCGCCTCCTCTTCCTCAACCTCATCCTCATATTCATCAGCATCATCACCCTCATCGCCAGCATGTCATCATCATCCTCTTCATCGTCATCATCATCATCATCATCATCATCATCATCATCATCATCATCATCATCATCATCATCAGCATCAGCATCAGCATCAACATCAGCATCAGCATCAGCATCAGCATCATCATCATCATCATCATCAGCATCATCATCATCATCGTCGTCATCGTCATCATCATCAGCATCATCATCAGCATCAGCAGCAGCATCATCATGATCAGCATCAGCAGCAGCATAGTCATAATCATCATCATCATCAGCATCAGCAGCATCAGCATCATCAGCATCATCAACGACATCATCAACCTCATCAGCATCACCATCAAAGCCATCATCAGCAACATCATCAAATTCATCATCACCATCATCAGCAGCAGCATCATCGTCAGCAGCATCACCAGCAGCAGCAGCAGCAGTCTCATAATTAGCATCATCAGCATCATGATCATAAACATCATCATCGATATTATCATAAACTGCATCATCAACATGCTCCTCCGCATCATCCTCATCAGTATCATACCCGTTATCGTCATCAGCAAAATCACCATCTTCAGCGACAGATCCAGCATTCTCAGCATCATCATCAACAGCAACCGCCTCAGCATCAGCATCATAATGATAATCATCATCATCATCATCATCATCATCATCATCATCATCATCATCATCATCATCATCGTCATCGTCATCATCGTCATCAGCATCGTCGTCGTCATAATCATCAGCACCAGCATCGTTTTCAGCATCAGCATCCTCATCAACGTCGACATCATGAGAATCGTCGTCATCAGCATCCTCGTCCTCATCATCATCGGCATCAGCATCATAATCTAAATCGACATCATCAGCATCATCACCATCAGCAGCAGCATCACCATCGTCACCATCATCATCATCAGCAGCAGCAGCATCATCATGACCAGGCTCTGACTTACCAGCATCTGGATCCCCAGCATCACTACCACCATCATCGTCATCATCATGATCATCACGATAATCAGCATCATCATCATCACCATCATCATAATCATCATAATCCTCATCATGAGCATCATCCGCATCAGCATCCTCATCAGCAGCATCTGCATCATCATCAGCATCATCAGCATCATCACCATCAGCATCATCATCATCGTCATCATCAGCATCATCATCCTCAGCATCATCGTCATCATCATCGTCATCACCTGCATACTTCGCAGTAGCAAGAGCAGACTCAGCCTCATCCTCATCAGCAAAAGCAGCATCACCATCGGCATCGCCATCATCATCACCAGCCTCGTAATGCGCCTCGCCATCATCACCTACGGCAGCATCAAGCAGTACCACTGTCGTAATCAGCAACGTCGTCATCAACACCAGCATCACGATGTCATCATCATTATCAGCATCATCATCCTCATAATCGGCATCACTATCATCATCATCACCATCATCATGATCATCATCGTCATCAGTATCGTCACCATCATCAGCATCAGCACCAACAGTAGCATGAGCATAAGCATCACCACCGTCATCCATAACAACGCCATCATCGTCAGCGTCGGCGTCACCATCATCGCCAGCAACAACAGCATCATGGGTCCCTGAATTACGTCCTGTCCTCCTCATCCTCCTCCTTCTCGCCCTGCTTCCCCCTCCCCGCCTTTCTCTGGTTCGCCCTCCCCCTCCTTCACCTTCCTTCTCCTCCTCCTCCTCCTCCTCCGCCACAACACCCTCCTCATCAACCTATCATCCACATCATCCTCCTCCCCTCCTCCTTCGCTTCCCGCTCCTCCTTCTCCTCCTCAACAACAACCTCCTCATCATCACCCTCCTGCTCCTCGTCCACATCGTCGGCCGCATCATCTTCCTCCTTCTCAGCATCCACAGCCCCAGCCATCCGCTCGGAGTAGGCATCCTCGATGGAAGTCGACGCCTGCCCACGCGGTCGAGAGTTGAAGGGCGAGGGATGCGAGAGGCGGAGGAAGAGTGCGCGCACTGACGGGGGGGGGCATCGGTGACCGTCTGCGTGCGGCGGCCCCGAAGGAGCGCAGAAGCACCGGTTTCAGCCTGCAGAAGAAGAGCAACAGTCTGCATAGGCATAGGAGGAGGAGGAGGAGGAGGAGGAGGGAGGAGGAGGAGGAGGGAGGAGGAGGAGGACGACGACGATTCTAAGAGCACGCGAAACCATCGGAGGCACGCGCATGTTTCCCGGAGCTACGCCGGGCCGCCTCCCTTTTGAGTGCTCGGAGCGCGCCCGCGCGCCGAGGGCGGCGCCGAAGATGCTGCCAGGGGGGAAGGTCCTGCGCCGATGCAGGAGATCCGCGCTGGCATCGTCTGGGCCGCGAAGTCGGCCAGCCGCCGGGCTGTGCCGCCGTCCTCCTCCTCCTCCTCCTCCTCCTCCTCCTCCTCCTCCTCCTCCTCCGCCTCCTCCGCCTCCTCCTCCTCCTCCTCCTCCTCCGCCTCCGCCTCCTCCGCCTCCTCCTCCTCCTCCTCCTCCTCCTCCTCCTCCGCCGCCTCCGCCTCCTCCTCCTCCTCCTCCTCCTCCTCCTCCTCCTCAGCAGCCCCAGGAGCCGCATCCCATGCCGCAGCAGGAGGAGGAGGGGGGGCGGAGAGCGCCGCGTCCCCGGGGCCCACCGCTGCGCGCCGCCACGAGGCGGGGCGGCGGCGGCGGCGCGAGGCGCACCGCTTCTACGTGGACGGTGGGGATCTGGCTTCAGGAACGGGAGGGAGGGGGATTCGAGGACGCCGGTCGGGAACTGATTCCTCTTGCGCCGTATGTTTATCTCTCTCTCTCTCTCGTTTGGCCTCCGCCTCCCCCCTGGGCTTCGCCGGGGAGAGGCGGCAAGGTTGGTGGGTAGAACTCTTGGAGTCCACATACCCGTAGTCAGTCAGTCAGTCAGGGGCGGAGAACTCGGAACTCGTATGTCCTCGAAAGCCCGCCAGGGGCGGCACTGCCCTGGGTGTGCAGGACGCGAAACCGCCTGCAGACCAGAGGGGCGGAGAAAAGGGAGGAGGAACAGGGGAGGGAGAGGAGAAGCGAGGAGGCGGAGGCGAAGGGAGGGGGGAGAGAAGAGGAGGTGAGGTCATGCTATCTCCATCCTTCCCCTCCGTGTTTTTTTTTTTCCCGTCGGGCCTCCCCCCGAAACCCAGGGCGAATCTGTCCAAAGCCACGACCACGAGGTGCCCGCAGGCTCCGCGCAGCCTCTGGATGACGACTGTGGCTGGCGGCGCGCACACAGGGGGGAGGAAGCTGCTTTCTAAGAGGCGGGGGGCTTCTCAGAGGGGTGCCTTCTTCGAAGGCCCCAGTGACTTGCAAGAGGGCTTCTGGAAGCCTGGCGACCTCCTGCGCCCCCATCATCACGGGCCCCCTGCCTGGTCAGAGAGCCCACCCGCCTTGCACCACCCCCTTCTGGGCGCCTCCGAGTGAGCGACGACAAGAAGCGGGTCTTACGCAAGGGGCCATAGAAGCTTACGCCGCGCCTTACGCGGGCCGCCAGCGTGGCACACCGCGTGGAGAAGAGGGCGCTTACGCGCGACCTCACGCGGGAAGCTTACCCGAGAACGTCGGCGCAGTCGACTCCGTTCTCTTCCGCTGCTCGAGTGAGCCCCAAGCAGATCGCTGCTAGGGCGAACAGCGAAGGTGACGCCCCGTCCTGTGCATGTACATGGACTGCTGCACTGGCGGATCTGAGGCCTCGCTGCCACCGCCCAGCCCCGCTGCCCCGAGTGCGTCCCTGGTCCCGCTACTCGCGTGAGGGGCAACGTTACGGAGGGACGGGCTCAAGGGGGGAAGGGGGGGGAATCAAACTGGAATCTGGGATACATCGCCGATAGATCGGCGATGGACCCCTCCATAGCGAATCCGACCTGAGCGGAGGGGGGGCAATCGGGCTTCTATCGGCGAAGAAAGAGCGATTGAAGGTCGATGCATCCCACCCCTGAGCCTATCCCCCCCTAGCATTGCCCCTGCCCGCCTTTCTTCACCCAAACCAACAGCAGAACTCGATGACGCCCCAGAACGCTAACAAAAACTCAAAACAGCTATGACCGACCGTCGCCGACGCCGACGACGACGCAGACGCCGACGCCAACGCCGACGCCGACGACGACGACGACGACGACGCCGACGACGACGACGCCGACGCCTACGCCGACGCTGGCGCCGACGCCGACGCCGACGCCGACGACCACAATGTAAGTTACCCTCGGGAGCCCACCACAACGCCCAGTGACGGCCCAAACGCCCAACAACTCCCCAAAACATCGATGGTTGACCGTTGTCGACACCGACAACGACGAAAGCAACACAGGGTACACATGAGCCATCGCAGCCGGCGCCAGCCGCGCCGAGCGACTTGTCCCCACCGTGCCCACCGCCGCCGACGATCACGACACCGACACCGCCGACGACGGCAACGCCAACGACGTCCAGCGCCCTGAGCCGTGCCGGGGCCCCCCCCACTAACCAGCCTCGAGCTTCACGTTCGTCATCCAGTACCCTCCTCTTCCCTCCTCCCCTGCTGCTGCTCCTCCTTCGCCTCTGCATGGTGACACTGACACCGCCGCCGCCGACGACGACGACGACGCCACCGACGTCTGTGTGCGCCCTAAGCCATGCTGGGATCCCCCGCATTCGCCAGCTTCGGGCGTATCGCTATCCCTAAGATTGACGATTCCAGAGGCTATGACAATCTTAGGGACACATCCTCAAAAACTGAAGAAACCCCGGAGATCGGCACCGATATACGGCGATGCCAGTAATAAGGGTAGGGATGCTTCAGGCTGGTCACCCATTGCCTCGCCCCGAGCGCCCCATCGCCGTGACGAGGTCGGCGCGGGGGCGCCCGAGGGTCTTGGCCCCTCCTGGTGCTGCCCTCTCATCCCGAGTCGTACTTTGACCGTCCCAGGGAGGAGGGGGAGGAGGAGGAGGAGGAGGAGGAGGAGGAGGAGGAGGAGGAGGAGGAGGAGGAGGAGGAGGGGGAGGATGAGGATGAGGATGAGGATGAGGAGAGGAGGAGGAGGAGGAGGAGGAGGAGGAGGGCGATCCCAGGCCCCCCTCTCTTGGACGCTCCCCCCTCGTGGCCGCCCCCGAGGGGGTGCAGGCACACGCAGGCGGGTGGGGGCAGCCGAGGCGCGCCGCCCATCCCCGGCATCGACACGGTTTCAGGTTCCAGAATCACCCTGGGACCGTGAATGAATGCAAGCCGGGTGTCGAAGCACATGGGCAGTAATGCAGCACTATGGGCAGTAGTGTCGCACAGCGGCTTTCCAGGCTTCTGCTGGGACTGCCGCGAGCTGTCGAAAATCATACGCTTTGCTCTCGCAGACTCTCTTCGCATGCTTGTACAATTCATTCGTCCATGACTGTCTCGGCCTGCCCCGGGGTCGTCTGCCGGCCGGCGTACGCAGCTCCGAAGAAGACGGCTGGAAGACCGCACGCCGCACAGGATGATCAACCGGTTGACGGGCAATCTGCGCAAAAAGACATAATTGACGGTGCAACAAGGTGCGGCTCAACGGCGACCGGCGGGCCCTGTGCAGAACTACATGTTTCCGGAGCCACGCCGCGTGCAATCCGTACAGCAACTTTGTCTGCACGCAGGCTTCGAAGATCTGCAACTTCCGTTGTGTGGACAAGGTGGAATGAGACCAGACTCGGGCAAGGGTGTCGAACTCAGCCCTGGCGCAACCAAGTCGCCTGCTCAGCTCGGAAGCGATCGATCCATCTGCCGCCAAAACACTCCCCAAATAAACCATGGAGTCCTTTTTGGGGATCTGGGCGCCGTCTGGACTCGTCACGCTCCCCTGGCACCGGATTGTCAGCAATTCAAGCTTCCCCCAATTGAATTTGAGGCCGTAGTTCGTGCCAGCGGCAGCAATAGCCGTCATGTACTCCTGCGCGCGCTCCGTGATTGTGGCTACGATGAGCGTGTCATCAGCGCACACGAGATCCTCCGTGTCCCCCATGCGGTCGCCCAGCGTGACCCGGGCGTCGCGCAGCAGCACGGTCATCACCATGGCGAAGAGAAAGGGTGAGAGAGGACAACCTTGACAGATTCCCGCGTGCTGCTCGCGGGTCTCTGACGTCACGCCGGCCTCGCGAACCGCGAAGTTCCTGCCCGTGTAGATGGCTTGAATCATTGTCAACATCTTCCCTGGGACTCCGAAGCGCTGCAGCGCTTCCAGCAGAGGCCCCTGCATGACGCTGTCGAACGCCTTGGCCCAGTCCAGAGCGAGCAGCACGAGCAGGCCCTCTGCGCTCGACCACTTTTCCTCCAGCCCCCGCCTGGCGAGGAAGATGGCGTCGGTGGTGCCGTGGCGCGATGCGAATCCAAACTGGGTGCCCCAGATGCGGCCCCCGGCCCCGGCGCCCTTCAAGCGGCGGAGGAGAAGAGTCGCAAACAACTTGAACCCGGCCTGAAGCAGGCACACTGGTCTGTAGTTGCCGCAGAGCGCGGCGTCACCCTTTTTGAACAATGCAATCACTAAGGAATTGTGCCAAGATTCTGGCACGACGCCCTGGCCCCAACACCGCCGGCACAACGCTAGCGCCCAAGCTCTCGCCGGGGAGTCGCGAGCGCAGACCGCTTTCCAGAAGTCGCCGGGGACGCCGTCACTGCCGCACGCCTTGCCCCTTTTCCTGCGCTTGGCTGCCTCGGCCACCTCCCAGTCTTCGATCTGCCCCAAGTTGACCGGCAAGTCGGGGCCAAGGGGCGTTGTCGACATCGGCGTGGTGTCGCGCGCGGCCCACTGCACCTCCGTCAGGAAGTCTGCCAGCGTGTCCGCACGGACCTCTGAGTCAACCAGGTCGCCGCGAACGTTGCGAAGTTTGCCTTGCTTCCGCCCGGCCCCTTTACGCAATCGTCGCACCTGGTCCCAGTCGCCCGTCGCCAGGAGGTGTTCCAACCACTCCGCCCTATCCGTTTTCACAGA